GTGGTTAACAGTCTCTCTCTCTCTCTCTCTCTCTCTCTCTCGTAATAATTATGAACAAAACAATCGCTTTTGTCATTCAATCGCAAAGTGTTTATAAATGACTAAAAATAAAACACTTATTATATTATGGAAACCCCAGTGAAGGCGTGGATATCAATACAGTATAAGGGGGATGGGATGTAAAAGTCCTTATGTTGTAAATACACGCTATGTTGTACAACTGCGTGAAATGGACAGTTAGCTAACAAAATATATAAATATTACTAACGTGTATAAATATATTGTAAAAATCGTATTATAATAGCATAAGTAGACTGTAATATAAAAGTTTTATTTTTAAAAACACTTGTATTTTAAAAAACATTTTTAAAAATAAGACTCACTTTTGAAATATAAAACTATGAAAACATTTGTTTAGACAAATATAATACTATTAGTGAAGTGCTATTAAAAACTTGAATAAAAAAGTTTTTAAAACTTTTTTATTTGAGACAATGATTTGGATAATAATTTTGTAAACCCTATTAAAATGATAATTAAAATATCAGTATATTATCGGCAAAAATCTAGTCATTATAAAATTAAATACAATAAAAACATTACATAAAAGCTATATAACTATTATAAAGCTATTTATACCGATAATAGACGGTAAATGTAAAAGTGTATTATATATATCATTAGAAATAAAAGTTTTAAACTTTTCAAACTAAATATAAATATAATATTTATTCAGTCAGTGGTTTGACTCATACTGTAAATACGATTCATATGATTATTATATCTGTTTGTATTGTGTATTGGATTTATAATAATAGTAAGATTTTAATTGCATTTTAATTGTTTTGTCTATTATTATAAAATATTCAGGAAATAAAAATCTATTATTCATAGTACCGGGTGTTCACTATAATAAGACTTTCAAAAGTATGGGTAGAGCTATGATTTTTAATTAATGACATTTTTTATATGTAATTATATTATTATATTTAATGATTTTAATAGCAATCATGTGTTCATTAATTTTCAAATAATTTAAAATTATTTGTTTTGTCTAATACTGTATAAAATAATTAGAAATTTGTTCACTTGAACAATTTGTAAAGTAATTAATTATTAATATATCTCTTAAGTTTATACGATAGGGCATCATTGTGGAAAGTATAGATAGTCGATATCGATACCTTTAGCAAGTAGTATATGATTGAAAAGCACAGGTTTCGATTAATATCGACTATCCCA